AGGAGAGGAGAGGAGAGGAGAAGAGAGAAGAGGAGAGGAGAGGAGAGGATATGCGAGGAGAAGAGGAGAACGACAGGAGGGAGGAAGGGCGGGAGGCAGGAAGGGAGGGAGGGTGGCAGGAGGGATTGATGGAGGGAGGGAGGAAGGGTTGGAGGGAGGGAGGGAGGGAGCAGGGAGGAGGAGGAGGATGAGGAGGAGGAGGAGGAGGACGAGGAGGAGGAGGAGGAGGAGGAGAAGAGAGGAGGGAGGAGGAAGAGGAGGTGGAGGAGGAGGACCAGTGTAAACCCAAGAGTCATCAACGATGTTGGAATCAACCCTCCCTCCAAGCTCCCTCTACATAGGCCCCATACAACGGTTCATTCCCATTGAGGGAACTGCCTCGTTGGAAGACAACCGTTTGAAGATCCTGAAGCATGCCAAAACATTGTTCTCTTGATTTCAACGCCACGTATCAACCTGACTGCTGCGTTGTGGCGATCCGGAATCGTGCCATAACGCCATGTTTTGATTTCATTGCTGCGAATCAACGTAACTGCCGCGCCCGCATAATCCGGATTCTTTCCCAAATACCCTTTCTGGTACGTTGACCATGGGAGTCCGCGACACTCTTGCAACTGTTTAAAACATGTTCGCGGCGTTAAGGCGAGAGCCACATTTCGAACAACCACCCGCCCCCAATCCGTGAAACTCTTGCAACTGTTTAAAACGAATGTGCGCGGCGCTGAGGCGAGAGCCACATGATGAAAACCACCCGCCCTCAGTCTGTAACTCTTGCACAGTTGAAAAGGAACGTGCGCGGCTGACATCTTGCAAATGTTTAACACGAATGTGCGCGACGCTTTGGCGAGAACCACATTTTGAACACCACCCGACCTCGATCCGTGAAAATCCTGCAACTGATTAAAACGAATTTGCTCGGCGACGGTTGTCACGTTTTACGCTTCAGGTTCATACATGGTGAGGACGTATCAGGCGAAACGCACGGCCCGCCCTAAAAACTGGCCTCGGGGTGCGGCAGGAAGGTGTTATCTAGAAGGAGAAGAAATAGAGGAAGAGGAGGCTGTAGGCTGAAAGTGAGTCAGCGACTGCAGACAGACACTGCTCGACCTCCGCAAATGCGGGAAAGCAGTACAGGGTACAAGAGCTGCCCCTTGGCGTCGGACGACTCGCGGCCCAACCGAACCGACATGGTGCATTGGGGGCACGAGGCCACCCTGTCGGCACGATTGGCATTGCGCACTGGGGCCTGCCCAAAGGCCCCAGCCGTGAGTGGACACAAAGCCCGATCGGATTTACGTGGCACATGCCACCACCTCTCACGGAAAACGCAAATCCCTGAGGGCCAGACCACAATGGAATAGCCACCCAGGCGCCTGGCTAACGCCGCCGCCAGCAGGGCAATGCTGAGACCGAAGGCCGTGCTACACCCAACGACGAGGCCGCGCGCAGCGCAAGCCCCGCCGATACAGGTTTCGCAACGTCCACCCCCAGGCCCAGTGCCCGCTGCATCCGCACAGAGAGCTGAGGGCCGTGCTACACCCAACGACGGCATCCTTGCGGCATCCCGCCGATACAGGTTTCACAGCGTCCACCCTCCTCTGTGGAAAAAACGACCGGTAGCCGCTCACCCTGAGGAGGAGGAGGAGGAGGAGGAGGAGGAGGAGGAGGGAGGAGGGAGGGAGGGAGGGAGGGAGGGAGGGAGGGAGGGTTGAGGGAGGAGGGAATAGGGAGAGGGAGGAGAGAGGTGGGAGGAGGGAGGAGGGAGGAGGGGGAGGAGGAGGGGGGAGGAGGGAGGAGGGAGGACGCCACTGAGAGATGCGTGCCCGCGACTGCGCAGGCGTCCCCGAGCGCTCCGCCCTCCGCGGCCGCAGCGGCCGCCGGGCCGTCCCCCCCCCAAAAACTCGGGAGCCTTGAGGCGGGGGTCTCTGCAAACGGGGGGTCCGTCAGAGCGCCGGGTCTTGCAGGATCCTGCAGAGCCAGGGGTGCATCGACCTGGGCTTTGGGTGCCGGATCTTGCAGGATCCTGCGGGCTCCCTGCAGGAATCCTGCAGGCCTGACTGGAGATTGACCCAGGTCAGTAGATCCCTGACAACGCATCCAGGGCCGTCCACAGATGGTCCGACTGCACTCGTGCCGCTTTTGGTTCCTCCAGCAGCCCGACTCGGGGCCGCCCGGCGCCGAGCGCCCGGGGAGCATCCGCAGATGTCGTCTATACAAATACACCACCGCGGTGCCCAGCCAGGGCCACCCTGGGCTCCGCACGATGGTGTGCAGACCCTTCTGGCCTCGGCCAGGAGGCGGACACACCATGCCAGGGCCCAGGATGGCCCTGGCCAGGAGTCGAAGAACAACAAACGACACAAACACAAACTTTTTGGCGCTCCGCGCGGATTTCTTGGATCCGCGCTGGGACCCCCCTGGCGGCGCCATGGGCGCCGCCCATGGCGCTCTCCGCGCGCCAGGGAGGGGGTCCGGCGCGGATCCAAGAAATCCGCGCTGAGCGCCTAAAACAGTTTCTGTTAGTGCTGTTTTTTCTTCTTCTAAGGAACGGTGGTGGTCTATACTCTGAGTTTATTCATAAGCGTCGGGGGGCGTCACCCCCGTCGACAACCCCACATCGACCCCCGTCGCGGGCAGCCACCGCGCGCCGAAGGCGCTCCGGCCCCCGTCGCGGCGCGACGACGAGGCGAGGCTGAGCTCCGTCGCGGGGTACCCCCCCGCGCTTGTGAAGAAACCCAGAGTAGATTCAGCGAGCGAAGAACGGTATAAAATAAACTTTTTCGCTGTCGGGGGCGCCTGTCCCTGGGCGGCTGGAAAGTTTATATATCCCTACGGTGCCACCGCAAGGGTATAAACTTGCCAGCCGCCCAGGGACGGGCGCCCCCCCGGCAGCGAGAACAAAAGTTTATTTGATACCGTTCTTCGCCCGTGAAAGAGCAGATGCCTCTGCGCAGGAGCAAGTCCCTCGAGTCCGTCGCTGCGGGAGGGCCGGCCGCCGCCTGCGACCTGCGAGGCGCGGGGGGTGCGGCCGCGGGCGCGGAGCCCCCGGCGGAGGGGGCCGCCGCGGGCGTGCTGGGGGTGCTGCGGCAGGAGTCGAGCAGCGGCGAGGCGTCTTTTGGCTCGCCTTCGTGGAGGGTGGCGCCGTTTGTGTGGAGGGGGGAAGACAAAGCCCTGCTTCAGGCAGGCAGAAGAAACAGAAAGAAGGAAGAACGAAAGAAGAAGAAGAAGTGTAGAAAGAGAAGGAGAAGAAGAAGAAAGAAAGAAGAGAAGAAGAAAGAAGAAGAAGACGAAGAAAGAGAAGAAGAATGAAGACGAAGCAAGAAGAAGAATAAGAAGAGGAAGAACGAAGAAGGAAGAAGAAGAAAACAGCGCTAGAAGAAACGAAGGAAGAAGAATAAGAAGACGAAGAAAGAAGGGAAGAACAAGAAAGACGAAGCAGAAGAAGCAAGAGAGAAGAAGACAAAGAAAGCAAAAAGAAGCGAGAGGACAAAGAAAGAAGGAAAGAAGAAGAAGAAGAAGAAGAAGAAGAAGAAGCAAGACAAAGAGACTGAAGAAGACCGCAGACGCAGGAAGGACGACGACGAACGAAGAAGAAAGCAGAACGACAAGACAAGCCCGCCGAAGGCATCCGTCGCCCGCAGAACAACGTCCTCTCCTTCAACCTTTTTCCCCCACTCCTCCAGCCCACCCTCCTCCCTCCTCCCCACCTCCATAATCCTCATAATACCCTCCTACCTCCTCCTCCTCCCTCACTACTAAGACACCTTCCTCCTCTACTCCTACTCCTCCTCCCTCCATACTCCCTCCGCACCTCCTCCCTCCTCCCTTCCACATCCATCCTCCCCTCCGCCCTCATTACCCCCCCTCCTCCTCCCTCCTCCTCCTTCCTACATCTGCCTCCTCCTCCTATCCACCTATCCTCCCCATCTCCTCCATTTCCTCCTCCTCCTCTTCAGCCTCCACCTCCTCCTCCTCCACCTCCTCCTCCTCCTCCTCGGGTCGCCTACGGCCCTGGGGGTGCATCGCCTAGAGGCCCATGAATGTTCTAAGAAGCTTTAGTGTTAAGTCGGGCATGTCTCTCCACAGGAAGAATATCCAAATAGTAGAAACGTAATAGTCCAGGGACGACTTTTAGACTATTAGTTGTTATCATTAATTTGGGGTCTCTTAGAATATCTTTTTATGTATCCAACATCCGCCTGTAGGAGGACATGTCCGACCTAACTTTAGTGGTTTGCACGACAAGTTATCAGAACATTTCTGGCTGAGACTCTGTCTTGTTTTGACACATCACTCAGGTCTATGCACCAAGAACACAGGTGAGCGTCTTGTTCCTCCCAAGGGTAACGCTCGCTACCAGGGCCCAAGCCCTCTCCCCCTCCCCCGGGTAGCGCTAACGATCGTACCGGGGGGTGGGCCTGGACATCCCCACCACATGCTGTGGCGCACAGGCGACTGATGCGCCAGTGGCGCGGACGCACCTTGGCGGGTGCATGCCGCGGCCGCCGTTACCGTTACCCTCTCGCCCGACCCCCACCCACCCCGGTACCCGGGGAAAAACAAAGTCATGTGTCTTCGTTCTTGGAACATATGTTGGGTCTAAAAACGTTTCGTGGTAGGCCAACCGGAACGCCAGGACGGTCGGTCGCTGCTTGACAGGAGGCCAAGGAAGAAAGCTCGGCCACGCCTGAGATCCTGGCGTCTCAACTTTTTCGAACCAGGCGTTTTTGCATTTTTTCTCAGCCCCAGGGACCTCGGTCGATCCGGCTCGAAAAATGATGCTGACAGATGGTGTCTAGGGCTCCGGGCGTGACTTCTAGGACGTTGCAGTTTTTGTTCGCTACGTCGGATCTTAGGGATGATCGCGTCGTAGAAAACATCACGACGGGAGGTCTATTTGAGGCCTCCAGGGGCCCTCGCTGGGCCTCGTCAAGATTCGGCTCGGGATGAAATCCAGTCTCGGGGAAAGGGTCGGTACTTCGGGGACCGCGCATTGAACAAATCAAGACGTCGCATGTCTGGGGCTAGGGGGAGGGGGGAAAGGCTTCTTAGAAACACCCCCGCTTCTTAGAACGCGCTGGCCTTTTCTATAGATGTAAGGTCGGCGTCTTCTGAGAAGCAGCCTCCTTCAAGGAAGCCTTTCCCCCCCCCCCTGCCCTTTTGCTGTGCGCGCTACCAAAAACAGCCGGAGATCCGAGGCTCCGACAACTTGGAACGGCCAGTCTTCGGCCGCTTTCGGCCTCCGAAAAAAGGGACTCGGGATGAAAAGCGGCCGCAGGGAAGCTGTCCAGACCACCGAGGGTCAACGCATCGAAACAATTGGTGCGCCAGAAGGGTTTCCCAACCCTTCTGTGTTGGTGGGTCCTCACCCTGAATCCACACCGCCTCTCGCACGCCTCACTCCCCACATCGTGTTGTTTCGTTTGCGCCCTCAAGGGGGCACGGTTTGCGCCTTCAGAGGGGCACGGCCTGTGCGCGCGAGTCACACCAGGATGCCATCGGTCGGCATCCCCCCAACATACTTATACTATGTGTTCGTCGCCCCCCCAGGGGCGACGCGCGCACCGAGAAATCTTGTAGTATATGCGTCGTGGCGGGCGCTTTCTGGCCACACCGCTCGAGAAACGATATACTACAAGATGGGTATACTATATGTTCGGGTCGGACGCGCGCCTCCAAGGCGGACATATAGTACTAGTATGTCTTTGTGCTTCCCAATCGGCGGGATGCCAGCAGCGCGCGCTCCCAGAGGCTCCGGGCCATGGCCCATGCTGCCACTGCACCACTGCCCGTTGCCTCTCCTTCTCGCAAACGCCGATTCCGGCACGCCGGCCCCCGCGCAGAGGGCTTTAGTCGGCGCCGGGCCTCCCTGCGCGCCATCGAGGGGGGGTCGATCCAGGGAAGCCGCGCGATCCTACGGTCGGGGCCCTGGAGAAGGACCCTTTTCGTTGGGGAGGGGCTCGGTGTTCCTTGATTGTTCTACAGCTTGCCTTAGGTTTTCATGAGGTTTTCCATGGGAGGTCGAAGGTTAACTTATGGAAAAAAGGGGCCTCGTTCCTCATTTGGGGTTCCTTAGGTCAAGGCCCCGACGGTACGAAAGTTAGTGCTTCTGCCGTGCTTTGCTTCCCAGAGGAGCGCGACACTGAGGGCTGCGAGGGGTGGACGCACGCAGCGGTCGTGTTCGACAGGCGGGGGGACGGCAGCAAGGAGCCGATCTTGGTGGCCAAGAAGCTCCTGATGTCGGGCAAGTCGTCGAAGGCGGACTTCCAGTCGCGGAAGCTCTCGACGAAAGTGTTCGCCGCCGAGAGCTTGTACATGAAAGGTGTCAAGGTGGTGACGGTGGCAACCCGCGGTCTGATCGTAAACACCATGGGCGTCACTGACAAAGCGGACACAGCGGCGCCCCCCGAGGTCGACGATGTGGGGGACGATTTCGCCAGCCATTTTGTGCGACTCAAGATTGACAAAGCAGGCCGGCGAACTTTCGATCCACCAAAGCTCTGGGTGGCTCCTGACCAGGTGGTGCACTTTTCGTGGCACGCCGAAAAGAAGCCACTGAAGCTCCTTCAAGCAGACGAGGCGTTCAATATTGAACAGAAGACCAAGGGAATCGAGATTGTGGACCGCGATGGCGATCGCGAGTGCAATTTTAAGCTTGCAGACTACAATATGCGCGCTGGCGACTACGTTTATTTAGTTTGCGATCAATACCCCACCGCCCGCATGCAAATCTCCGTCAAGTCAGCCATAACGGCCGGCATTCTTCGAATCAGTTGGCAGCTTGCTGTGTTGGTTATTGCAGCCATCTTGCTGGCGATCCTGGCATATGTAACAGTGGATTACATAGAGGACTCATCCTTCGTCGAACATGTTTTTGATTGTAAGGGATTGGCGTCATATTGCGACGGTCCTGTCAAGCAGCTGAAAGATTATATTTTTGACACCGCTGCCGTACCCATCTTCTGCGCCTGCGCCATAGTGGTGCTCGGCATCCCTGCTACTATCATCAATTTACTGTGGCCTGCGCCAACATTATCCTCTTTCCGTGAGGGATTTCACTGCGACGTTGCCTTATCCATACGTATAGTGAGCTCGGTTTTCTTAATATTGCCGTTCGTCTTCGTAGTTGCGGATTGGGTTTTGATATCGAAGTACACTTGGGCCATCACGGACATCCTCCATGTGTTCGGCGCGTTCGTCAACACTCTGCTGGATGATGTGCTCAATATTCTCTTGAGCACAGACAGTCTGTTCGAGGTGGCCTCGAAACTAGAGAGCGTCGGTCTCGGTTCGGTTCCAGACCCCAGCATCATCGACACAATCATCAATTACGAGGCCCTGGTGCGCGGGTATACCCAACTCGGGGTGGACTTGCTGGCCACCATGATACTGACCAGACTCATCGTAAACTTTCTCTGCCTGCTGTGCGTGGTGGTGAGCCTCGCCTACGGCTTCGCAGGCCTAGTCAGGCGCTCCCACGAGAGCCTACACACGTCCTGCTGGACGAGCGTCGTGGCCCTGGCGGCCATGCTGTGGCTTCTGGGGTTCAGCGCTTTCTTCAACGAGCTGTGGCTCGACGCCTACAAAACCTACACGGGCCCCGACGCCATCGTGAACGCGCCAGCCGGGAGCGGCTTGCCCTTGGCCGTGACCATCTTGTCCAGCTGCGGCAGCGACGCGACCGCGACCATCCCAGTCGGTGCGCTGGCCGAGCCTCTGGTGGCGGTCCTGGCGGGTTTGGGCGGCTCGAATCTCATTGCCCCCGCTGGGCCCGTGACGGCCGCGGACGTGCAGGAGTTCAGCGCGGAGGTCGAGACGCAAGTGCAGTCGCTGGTGTACTGGATGTCCCAGCCGGACGCTCGGATAGAGGAGTTCGCCGGGGCGCTCATCCCGGGCATCTCCCTGGAGGAGTTCAGGACGGTTCTGGAGGGGGGGCTGGACATCATTGCTGTGCTCGAGGACACCGTCCAGTGCCAGCAGATCTCGCCGTTCCTGGGCGACGTGCAACGCATCCTGGACCAGAAGGTTCTCCCGGCCAGCCAGGGCGTGGTGTTCGTGGAGAGGGCCCTAGTCGTGCTGCTGGTCCTGTGGGCGATAGTCGCGAAAGTGGCGGCATACGTGTTCTTGCGCCCCCGCAAGATCTACAAGGACAGGGTGTCGCGGCGCTGGTTCCGCTTCAAGTTTTCCTACCTGGTGTCGGTCAAGTTGCGCATGACGAGCGTGGGTTACCACTTCTTCGAGCACAGAGTGGAAGGCTATTGGTGGAACACCCTCGAGTTCCTCCACGGCGTGCTGCTGCTGAACACGGTGATGGTCGCGGTGCTCTTCACCGGCGGCTGCATGCTCCTCTTCCTGGACACCTCCACCAACCCGACCTGGGAGTGGGTGGTGGCTGGATCCATCCTGCTCATGGCCTCCTCGGTGCTGGGATTCGTGGGCGGGTGGCGGAACCTGGGCGCTACACACAACAGAGTGCTCCGTGGGGTCTCCCTGCTCGTCGTCGCGGCCGGCACGGCGTGCCTCGCCTACTCTGCGGCGGACAACGTCGCTCGGCAGGTGGAGTGCCACGAGAGGATCGGGTACGACCCCGCGGCCGAGGGGCCCACCGCGCGGGCCGCGTTCGAGACGACCTCCGCGGCAACGCAGTCGGCGTGGAGCCTGGCCCTCACGGGCCAGGGCCTGGGGGTGGGCGACAGGGTCCTCCTGACGAGAGGCGCGGAAGGCTGCCCTCCTGCGGGCGGCAGCGACTCCGGCGCGCAGTCGGGGCCCGCCACGTCATACGGCCGCACCTACCCCTTCGACGTGGCCCTCGGGGGCGGTGTGTATGGCCTCTGCTGGTGCTCCGCCGCCGACGGCTGCGCGGGCGCCAGCAGCCACAGGCGGGGCTCGTGTTTCGATTCTCCTCCGACGCGATCCGACTTCGATTCCGATGGCTTCCGATTCCGATTCGTTTTCGGATTTCGATTCTGGGTTCGATTTCTCAGTGGAGGCCTTACTAGCCAGCCGATTTCGGCCGAGTCGAGTTTTCGTAACTCAGCTGTCGATTTCCCCCGATGCGATGTAAGTGCACTGCTAGTCCGACGACTTGTCGATTCGATTCTGGGCTCTCCTCACAGGGCCTTCGCCGGCTACCTTTACGTCGACGAGCCCGTGGACAGGTTCCGGACGTGCACGCTGGAGATCGTCGCGGGGCTCTCGCAGGTGGCCTTCACCCTGGTGGTGATGCTTCCGTTCTGCCTGCTGCGGATGGTGCTCCGGGGCAACGTTGGGGGGGGGGATGGGCCCAGGGGGGATGCATTTCACCCCGAGCGCCCGATAGCCCAAGCCTGCCCCGGATCATGCAGATTCGCTGTTGGGGGCCTCTCGCCGCTCTACCGTGGATGTAAACAATTAACGCGAAAATGATTCATAACATTGGATTTCGCCATTCAAAGGCCGCGAGTTCCACATAGGGCAAGATCGGCAGCTGCCCGCGAAAATGTAAACAACAAACGCGAAACACGGAAACACTTTTTTCAACCCGGGGCCGTTCGTGCCTAGCTTGCGTTCCATATCTTTGAATGGCGGAATTCGATGCTACGGATGGGTTTCGCGTTAATTCTTTACGTCCACGGCATCAGCATTGCGTCGCCGACTCCAGCTTCGGAGGGCACCAACTATACACCAACACCGATCCTGGCCCAGGATCACCCTGGGCCCAGGATCGGTGTATATGCCTTCTTGCGCAGGGCAGGAGGGCGTATACACCGATCCTGGGCCCAGGGTGATCCTGGCCAGGATCGGTGTTGGTGTATAGTTGGTGCCTCCCTACAGCTCGATGTTTCTCCCCCTGATCGCTGGTCTCCCGGTGGTCTTCGGGTCATGCCTCGGGCCTCCGGCGGTCGTGGGGAGGGCAAGTTGGGCACCTCCGACGCGCTCTCGGCGGGGCGCCTCCTGCCGGGCGGCGTCCCGAGGCGCTGGAAAGAGCAGCCGAGCGCCCTCGAACTCGGGGTTGGACAGAACCCCCAACAGTGACACGTCGATTAGTGAATTGTCCGTTTTCGGTTCTCGAGAGGGCGCCGTGGCCGCTATTTTCCAGGCTTGCGCCCGCCAGGTTTGGGCCTCATGTCGTTTTCACTAAACCACGTTTTACTAAAGGGGGGTCTGTCCATCCCCGACGAACATGTTTTTGACGATCTCGACGTTCGAAACGGCGAGCCTCGAAACTTCGAGCTGGTGGCATCCCGAGGGCAGAAAGCAGCCGAGAGCCATCGAGGACGTCGGACGACCTCGACGTTCGAAGCTTCGGGCCTCGAGAGACTTCGAGCCGGTCTCCCTCCTCTGAAGTTGTCCCCTCCGACGTTGCCCCTCGGGTCGGGACGATCGAAATGGGTACAGTCGGGGCGCTGAAGGAGGTATCCTTTCCGATTGGGATGGGCTCAGTGTTCCCTAATTGTTCTGCAGTTGGCCTCGGGTTTTGCTCAGGCTTTCGATGGGGAATCTAGGTTTAACGTTCTGCAAAAAAAGATGGCCTCTTTCCCTCTTTCGGGTTCCTTAGGTCAACGCCCCGACCGCACGGAAAGAACGGGCTCAAAGACCGTTGGGCGTTGCGTAATGGGGGGGTCATAAATGGGGGGTGGCGAGGGTGGTCCGAAAAGGTACCCAAACGGTACCTAAACGAGCCCCCTGGGGCTCCGGAGGGGCCCGAAAGGGGCACGAAAGGGGACCGTTTCTGACCCCCCCAGTTATGACCCCCCCATTAAGCCACGCCCAAGACCGACAGCATTTTCTGTTCATCCTGAACCAGACTCACCGTCGGTGCCGCCACGGACGCTGCCCACGTGAGTCGGGGGAGCGTAAGACCCGGGTTTGCCGGGACTCGGGTTCGCCATCGTTTTTTGACGACCGCGCCTCGGATTTTGACGAGTAGGAGTTTCGTGGGATGTGTCTGCAGCGGGAGGCCTCGCCAAAATGCAGGCTCGGCCTCGTCATTTTTTTGACGACCTCGTCGGGGATTTCCGAGTCCCCCGTGCCCGGGTCTTACGTCTCCCCGAGTGAGGCAGGAGGCCTCCTGCCCAGCAGAGGGCCCGCTCGTCGGTGGTTGGACCGAAAGGTGTCCTCGGCGGCGAGGTCCGAGCCCTGCCCTCGCCGATCAAGTCGGGCAACCCGATGGGCGGAGGAGGAGGGGGAGGAGGAGGAGGAGGAGGAGGAGGAGGAGGAGGAGGAGGAGGAGGAGGAGGCGGAGGAGGAGGAGCATTGATCACATGGGGAAATCCGAACCCTATACCCCCTTCCCATGGGTTCTGGAGAATCTGTGGTTGGTGGGGGTCGGGTTCGGATGTCGCCACCCAGAGGAGGACGCCAAGACGGCCCCAGGAGGGGCCTCAAGAGGGGGAAACCAAAGGGGCTTCTCGAGCCCTTCGACCCTGAGATCCGACCTGGCGAAAACAATGCAGCATCGTGAGAAGCCACGACGGGAGCCCTGGACCCCATCTTTCTGAGGTCTTCTTCGAGCCCGATCGGTCTGGGAAGGCCCTGGGGCCCGAAACCAGGCGAAAACGCCTGGTGTCCAGTAGTTGCAAATCTCTAGACCTCCTGGACGGTGTCCGAGTAGATGGGGTCGGAGGATCCAGCCGCATCGCCGATGCATCGGCGATGCGGCTCGACGTGGAGACCGTGTTTCTCCACGCCGACGTCGCCGATGCATCGCCGATACATCGGTGCTGCATTGGCGATGCGGCGCGATCCTTCGACCCCGTCTACTCGGAACCCATCTAGGAGGCCTCTGAAATCAGGTGTCCAACAATTGCCAAGGGATCGTTTTCTTATTCGTTGTTTTGCCGATTGGCGCGGGCCCCTGCACCTCCCCGCTCCCCCCCCCGTGGAGTAGATATTGGCTGTTTTTGGCGCCCGTTTCGAGCAGGTGGAGTCTTTCCCCTAGGACGCACTGTTGCAAACTGTCGCATTAATTAAGCAGGTCTGGAGCCCAACCCCCCCCCTGTCCCCCCCTCCGCCCAGTGTCGAAGCGCCGAATACGACAGCGTTTTCAAGTCAGGTGCTGGCGACCGCGACGCTGTTCCGCTGCGTCTTCTCCGCCCACATCACGGACCGCCAGCGCAGGACCGCGGCGGGCGCGGGGGAGCCCCGGGCGGGCGCCGCCGCGGGCCCGCTGCGCCGGTTGGGGCCGCGGCAGCGGCTTCTCGTGGCCGGTGCTCGGAGAAGAGACAGCGGCATACATCGTCGACATACATCGGAGGAGGAGGAGGATGAGGAGGAGGAGGAGGAGGAGGAGGAGGAGGAGGAGGAGGAGGGCAAGGTACACTGCTACCCTGCTACCCGTTTTCCCCTTTTTCGGCCTCCTGGGTGGCCCTCGTCTCCAGGCCCCAGGATGGAGTCGGAGTGGATGGGGTCGGCGGATCGTTCTGCATCGTCGATGCGGCACGATGTGGGGCCCGAATTTTTCCACGCCGATCTCGCCGATCTCGCCGATGCATCGGCGATACATCGGCGATGCGGTGCAATCCTCCGACCCCATCTACTTGGATCACATCTAGGGAGCTTCTAACAGCGGCATGAATCCGCGACTGCAAAGAGTATAGTTCGGAGGAGGAAAAGGTACCCATACTGCTACGCTTCGCCCACACTGCTACCCATCGATGTGGGGCTGCCGGCGGGGGCGTCCCCCCCGCCGACAGCCCCACATCGACCCTTGTCGCGGGCAGCCACCGCGCGCCGACGGCGCTCCGACCCCCGTCGCGGCGGGACGATGCGGCGAGGTTGACCCCGTCGGGGGGGTACCCCCCCACGCTTATTTAAGGGCGCCCTCGAGGGCGCGAAGTTATTCGCGCTTCGCGCTTCGCGGTTCGGCTCCGATTCCTCCTCACCCTCCTCTTCTCTCCTGGGAGGCGGCGCGAGAGCGCGAAGTTATTCGTACTTCGCGCTTCGCGCAGCGCGAAGCGCGAAGCTGGGAGCCCTTGCTTATGAAGAAACCCAGAGTACCTTTTAATACCTCTTGGTTTCCCCAGTGGTTGCGCGTGGGCATGGTCTGCGATCTGGGTCGTCGTGGCTTGGGGGGGCAACGCGTGCCCTCGTCGGGCCTCGTGGCGACACACTGCGGAGAGAGCTCCGTCGACGGCCTCGCCCGCACCCCCGGGCCCCGGAGGGCCGCTTGCACACCACACCCTCTGAAAACCACACCTTTCCGAGTCTCCGAAGTTAAACTAGGGCGACGGGATCTGGACATATCGACGGCCCAGGCCTGGCCCATCCTGGGCCGAGGAGCGATGTCCATGCCGTCCTGGCTTGGCCAGGGATGCACATGCACCGCTCCTGGGCCCATCCTGGGCCAGGCCCCGGGCAGTGGATGCTCCCTCCTGAACGCATGCTTTCGGAGGTCCGCGCTGACTTCTTGGATCAGCGCCGGGCCCCCCACTCTGGCGGCACCTCCTCCGCCACCTCTGGCGCGGATCCAAGAAATCTGCGCGGACCTCCGATTGAGGGTGCCCTTGGTCCAAGGAGCTTCTGGCTTTTCGCTCCATCTTCGAGCCCCTGGGACCCTCTGGGCTCCGTGAGGGGTGCTCTCGAGGCCGTGGGGGCCTCCCTGGAAATTCTGGGGACACCTTGGGCCATGGGCACTTCTGGCGACACCCGCTTTATGCTTGTGCTGTTCCTCCAGGTATGCTTCTCTTGCTTGTCGCGGGGGTTGCCTCCATCTTCGTCGTCTCGAAGGAGCCAGGCGCTCGGTGCTACACTCTGGGCGGCTGCGAGGTTATCGCCACGACGACCACGCCGCCGCCGCCCGTTTTGCAGTCGTGCCCAGGGTGCTGCAATCTGTACGAGGCCACCTGCGACAAGCGCGTCGACCAGGCTGCCTTTCCCACGGTGCACAATGCGATGTCGTCGACAGATCGGCTGTGGAATTTCCCCAACAATATGATCAACATGGAACAGGCACTGTCCGCGGGTATGAGAGGCCTGATGCTCGATTTGTATTATCGGTGGGAGCCGAATGCAACTGCAAGTGAATTGGCCGGGCCTGGCACCGTGTTTCTTTGTCACGGCTATTGCGGTTTAGGCAACATGCGATTTATCGACGCTTTGATTGACATAAAGACGTTCTTGGACGATAATCCGAAGGAGTTAGTAGTTTTCATCCTGGAGCAGTACGTGGCGTCTTACAGTGTGATCAAAGATTTAATTAACTCAGGCATGATGGAGTATTGCTGCTACGGCCATCCATCTTCTTCAGACGAATGGCCCACAGTAGGACAGCTGATCAGTAACAACAAGCGCTTGTTGCTGTTTTCCAACAGGGCAGTGAGTTACACAGGCTCGTCGCATGATGGCAATATTTTGACCCACAGCGATTTCGGCTCTGACTTCGTGTCTGTCACGAGCGTGGATTGGTGGCATAAAGATTCTGACTACCTGGCGGCAACTACGTACTCGTACACTTCCCAGGTTACGATGACAAGCGATTGCTCGCTGAACAGCGACAAGAGTATGTATCCAATCGCAGATTTCGCTGAGACGTCTCAGTCTGCTGCACAACCTGGGCCAGCAGCATACCGGCTTATCGTCGCCAATCATTTCATATCAAACCCTTTGCCGTGCGAGTCGTGTGCGGCCAGCAGCAATCAGAATACGAGCTTGAAGTCGAGAATGTTGAGCTGCAAGTCTCAATGGGACCACCAGCCAAATTTTCCGACGGTGGACTTTTGGTCACTAGGTGAAGTCGTTCGGGTATCCGGGCATTTAAACGAGCAGTGACGTTTGGTCGTTGACTACGACGTGCCCAGCGATGCTCGTTCGACATGGCTGAAGTCTGCATGATTACGAGCTGTGGCAGCAGCAGCGATAGCAAGTACACTTGTTTTTCTGTGTAAACCTTGTTGTGTGTTTGGTATCTCGGGACTCTTTAGCAACGGCATGCTCTTGAGATCCACATGTGCGTCTTAGATCCAGAGCTGGCCAATAAGGTCTGTGTCATGTGATCTGTTTCGCCTGTTTTTTATGCATGCTCTCGGTACCACTTGTTTCGTGCTCCGTGCGTGCGACAACTACAAGTTGCCACGACAGACCTGGCCGCTCATCCTTTCTCCTCCTACTCCTTTCCCCTTTGGCCTTGAGCGAAGTGGATCCAGAGATGCACAGATCGAGTGTCGAACATCACAGACCTTTCTTGGCGATCAAGGCCAGGTCGCTACAGAACTTGTAGGAGCCCGCAGCTGCATGTACTGGGGAACTCCGAGGGAATCTTCAGCGAGAGCTCGATTTTGAGAAAGAGCTCCCTCAATCTTTGTAGGTGTTGTGGCTTTCAAGCTTCACCACCAGCATGACAAGCGTTACCGCCCTCTATCCCCACAGCTGGTGGATATTGCATTACTCACGATCACCATGATCTATCATGTGCCAGGGTACTGGGGGCCTGGGCCCCAGGCCAGGACACTCCCGGATTCCCCCCTCCCCCCGTGGGTATCTACTTGGGCCCCAGGGAACATTGGGCCTTTTCTGGATTCTGGGGGGCTCTTTCGGCCCCCAGAGGTTTCCACCCGCCAGTACGTCCCCAAGAGGGCCTCAGGACGGCCCAAGACGCCCCCAAGACGGCCCAAGAGCGGCGTCAAGAGGAACCCCAATAGGACCACAACACATGCACAAGCCAGTGATTTTGTCCACTAAATGCGAGCGCTCTTGCCTTCCCGAGCTTCAGCGCTCCAAGACAGCCCAAGAAGCCCCCCAGCATGGCCCAGAAGGCCCAAGAGGGCCTGAGAGGGCTCCAGGAGGGTTCCCAGCGGGGCCCAAGAGGCGGAGCACGAGCTAACATTCCAGACCATCCCCCAACGGTGATCTCCGAGACCGCCAGCGGGGCCCCAGGAGGCGCCGAGCAGGCCCCGCAAGACTGCCCGAGGTGCCCCAGGAGGAGGAGGAGGAGGAGGAGGAGGAGGAGGAGGAGGAGGAGGAGGAGGAGGAGGAGGCCCCAGTACGCTTCCAAGAGGCCTCAAGAGACCCCACTCAGTCGGACCGAGGTATAAGATATCGAGGTCGGCTCGCGGAGGGGTTACCCGGCACCCCAGTGTTCCTTGTGTCTGTTGGATGCTCATTCGGGGGCGGAAAAGAGGGGGGTGATGACTGGGGGGGGGTGGATATCATGGCGTGGGCCATGATATCTCCCCAGATTTCATGGCGCCCCTTCTTATTTCATTACGTCCCTGGCCCCCCCGCTGGGCCGCGCACATGCCGCCGGTCATGATTTGCACCCCCCCCCTTGGACACCCCCCTCTTGGCCGCTCCCGACTCATGCGCATCCTGGGGGAGGGTGCCCTCGAAGGCTCTTCGATTCGGGCTGGCGGAGGGTCCAGGGTCTTCGAGGGATGTTCTCGTGTCTCAGGTCGGGCCGTAGCGATCCCACAAGTGACACGAGAGCTCCGAGAGACTTCCTGAGAGACCCCCAAACGCCTCCCAAACGGGCCTCGGGCCCACGACCCGGGTACGGCCGCGAGCTCGACCGAAAGCCATTATATCGGAGGTTGGGTGGTGAGATCGCAGTGAAACGGAGACCCCCCACCTCGAAATCGGTTTCGGTTTCGTGTTCGCGTCGTGCGTGCGGGCGAGGCGAAGCTGCGCGTGATCCTCCTGTAGCTAGGCCGAAGTAGGAGCCAAAGTCCGTTCCCGTCCGCCGGTGGCTGGGAGGTGTCCCAGTTGGGCCGGGCGGTGTCCCGGGTGTCCCGGGTGTCAGTAGGAGCGAAAGTCCGTTTCCCGTCCGCCGGTGGCCGGGAGGTGTCCCAGTGGGCCGGGCGGTGTCCCGGGTGTCCCGGGTGTCCCGGGCGTCCCGGCGCTAACGCATGTCGCTAATTTTATGATTCATGTTTTTCGGCGCCTGCGGCGGGCTTTTTTATCCAATCCAGCTTATTTTGTCAAATCCATCTTCTCCAATCCACTCCATCTGATCTTATCCAACACATATTGTCCCATCTAATCCAATCCCACCAAATCCAATCCATCCAACCCAATCCATCAATTAATTTGTTTCTGCGCCTGCGGCGGGCCAATCCAATCCATCTTATCTGATCTAATCCATCTCTTCCTATCCAGTCCATCTTATCTTATCCAATCCATATTATCCCATCCAATCCAAGCCACCCAACCCAATCCATCAATTCATTTTTGTCGGCGCCTGCGGCGGGCTTTCTTATCCAATCCAGCATATCTTCTCCAATACATTTTGTCAAAATCCATTCATCTTATCTTATCCAACCCATATTGTCCCATCTTATCTTGCCCCATCCAATCCAATCCACCCAACCCAATCCATCAACTGTTGACGCTTCGCGAATCCCCACCAGCCCAGCCAGAAACGATGCCCAGAGGAATTGCCTCGATCAGGGAAGCGGGCAGCACACAGAGGGTCCCCCAGTGGAGGCTTCTCGGAGCGTCTTGGGGGCCTCTTGGCGGTCCCGGACGCCTCTTAGAGCGTCTTGGGTGTCTCGCAGAGCTTCTTGGGGCCTCTTGGGCGCCTGTTGGGGCCTCCTGGGGCCTCCTGGACGCCTCTTGGGGCCCTCTTGAAGCGCTCTTGGAAACCCTGGGAGCGCTCTTGGGGCCCTCTTGGGCCAACTTGAAGCCATCGTGAGGCCTCGGCGAGAAAGCCAAACACATGGATGCTCCCAAGGTTTCGGAAGGATGTTGGCCTCTTTGGGGCCTCCTGGGAGAGCTCTTTGGCCACTTGGAGCCGTCTTGGAGCGGTCTTGGGGCCTCTTGGAGCATCGTGGGCGCCATCTTGAGGCATCTTGGGGTATCTTGAGCCATCTTGGAGATCATCTTTGGCTTTCCCAGGCGCTCTTGGAGTCATCTGAAGCAGTGCCCCCCCCCCCTAGGAGGCCAAAATGTTGCCAAAACCTTTTTGTAAAATCAGCGATTTTGGCATTGTCGCCGAGGCCTCTTGGAACGTCTTGGGTGCCTCTGGGGGACCTCTTGGGGCCTCTTGGATGTCTCTTGCAGGTCTCTTGGGAGCCTCTTGGGGGTATCCTGGGGCCTCCTGGGGGCCTCTTGGGGTTTCCTGGCCACCTCTTGGAGCCCTCTTGGGGCACCCTTGGGAGCCTTGGGGGCCATCTTTGGGCCATCTTGGGTGAGATCGATCACAGGAGGGGGGGTGTTTGGTTAGGGTCCCCTCTCAGGAGGCCAACATGGGGCCAACACCATAGTACAACCAGTGAGTTTGGCTTCCTCGCCGAGGCCGTTTTGGACGCTCCGACACCTCGCGAAATCCGTTGTCCAGGTCCATGGGGAGGGTGTAGGGGGAGGGGAAAACCCCTGCCCGAAGGGGAACAAGGAGACTGGTGGGATTAATTAGTTTCTTCGCCTGCGGCGGGTCAATCCAATCCATCTTATCTTATCCCATCCATTTCTTCCAACCCAACCCATCTTACCTTATCCAATCCATCTTATCCCATCCAGGCCCATCCCCCCAACCCAATCCATCAATTAATGTTTGTCGGCGCCTGCGGCGGGCTTCCTTATCCAATCCAGCTTATCTTATCCAACCCATCTTGTCCAATCCAATACATATTATTTTATCCAACTCCTATTGTCCCGTCTTATCTGATCCCACCCAATCCAATCCATCCAACCCAATCCATCCCTTCATTTGTTTCTGCGCCTGCGGCGGGCCAATCCAATCCATCTTATCTGAACAAATCCATATCTTCCTGTCCAAACCATCTGATCTGATCCAATCCATCTTGTCCCATCCAGTCCAATCCACCCAACCCAATCCATCAATTCATTTTTGTCGGCGCCTGGGCGCGATCGCGGCAGACTGCGAGGCGCGAGCGTTCGGTGCCCTTGCCGTTCGGAAGCCGCCCATGGTGAGATCCAGGTGACAGGCTGGAGGTCAGTCAGGTGGGCATTTGATCTCAATCCCCCCCAACCTCCTTGTCGCCCGCAGGGCGGTCGTATAGGTATGTATAGTGTCGGAGGTCGGGGGGGTGAGATCGCAGTGGAACGGAGACCCCCAGCCGGGAAATCGTTTCGCTTTGTTTGCGTCGTGCGTGCGGGCGGGGCGAAGCTGCGTGGGCGTGCGAGAGGGATGAACCGGCCGCCTGCTAGGGCGTAGTCAAGACAAATGATTATCCACCTCCCGCCCGTTCGGCGGCGGCCCGCGGTGCCCCGCGGTTTCCCGCGGTGTACCGTGGTGTTCCGTGGTGTCCCGCGGCGTCCGCCGTTGCCAGGGCGAAGCCAAGGCAAATGATTATCCCCCTCACGTCCGTCCGGCGGTGGCCCGCGGTGTCCCGTGGTGTCCTGCGGTGTCCCGTTGAGTGATATCGATATTGAGATCGATACTGAGATCGACGTGGTGCCCCGATGTGTCCAGTGGTGTCCCGTGGTGTCCCAGAAAGTGATACCGATAGTGAGACCGATAGTGATATCGATAAATCGACAGGTGTCCCGCGGTGTCCCGTGATGTCCCGTTGAGTGAGATCGATAGTGATATCGATAGCGAGATCGATTGTGCACGTCCGGAGGACGTGCAGTCCAGTCGTTGCGGGGCCTCGTGGCAGCTTCTTCTTGGCCTCTTGGGGGCGTCTTGGGGGCTTTTTGGGGCCTTTTCCTGATTTTTTTCCGGGGCCTCTTTCGGGCGTCTTGGGCCGTCTTGTGGCGCTTTTGCGGCGTGTGTCCCATTCGGAAGCCAGTCTGGGGACGTGTCGCGGCCGTTCTGGGGCTTCCTTGGGGTCCTCTTGAGTTGGGCCGTCTTAGGGCCCGCTTGGGCCATCGGA